AGAAAGCGAGAACTCGTCTCTTCAATTTAGGAATTAAGAAATAAAAAAAAAATTACTTCAAAATGATTCGCAAAATAAAAAAAAACGAAATAATTTTTTCAGTTTTCTAATTTTTTTTTATTACTTTTCCAAAAAAATTAATAATTTCTAAATTTTAATTTCGTCTCTAATTTTATTTTTTGTATAAAAACTATACCGCACTATAAATATGGTACTTATGTTTAGTATGGATGAAAAAAAAATAAAAAAAAATGTTTATCAAATATATTGATTGGTGGAAAATAAAAGATTTTCGATGATAATAATGCGGGAATAAGTAGATAATCAACAGGTAGGTAAGAGTAGACGTAGAAATGAAGGTAGTGAGGCAAGTTTGTGATCGAGAAAGTCAAGAGCGCCAGCGGACGTTCCAAACAGACTTGAGTAAAGATCTCTGCCATTTAGCCTACTTATGTTTAGCTCATAGAGTTAAAATTCGCTCGACCGGTTTCTCGTCAATTACACATCAAAATTGAAGAAAATGGAAAGTTTTGTCTATATTGTTTCAATATGAAAATCTTAAAGAATACGCGCTTGCCTCCATAAGAACATTGAACTCCAAACAACAAATAACAAATATTCTCCTATCATCATATATACATCAGATAATATCTCCCTTGAGAGAGACATCCTCCTCATTGTTTCCATCTTCTATTCATTTATAGAGAGAAAAAAAATAGAAAAAAATTATTTACATTTAGTTAAAAAAAAGTTAAAAGTTAAAAAACTTAAGAGTTAAGAAGTTAAAATGTAGAAAAGTTAAAAATTAAAAAGTTGAAAGGTAGAAACGTTAAAAATTAAAAAGTTAAAAGGTAGAAAAGTTAAAACTTAAAAAGTTAAAAGGTAGAAAAGTTAAAAATTAAAAAAGTTATGAGTTAAAAAAGTTGTTGAAAAATGAAGAAAAGAATTATAAAACAATTTAAAATAAAACAATTAAAAGTGTACAACTTAAAAAAATAAAATAAAAAAACGAAATAATAAATAATAATAATAATAATAATAATAATAATAATAATAATAATAATAATAAATACGAAATAATTTGTTGACACGCTCTGAAGAAAGCTACTTGAGAAGAAAATTATTTGAAGGTTATGTTTGTGTCACTTTTATTTTAATTAACATTCCCTGTGCTTATAGTTTAAAACCGAAATCAGTTTTTATCGAAATCCTTGGATCTAATGAAGAATTAAACCAGTTTTTTCTAGTAAAAACTTTACATTCCACCTGTGTATTTACATTCCGAAAATAACGAACATAACCTCAAAATTGTTGCTTTTTAATTCAATAACTTCTATTTTTAAGTAAACCTTTAATCATTATTATTTTTCCATAAGAATTGAGATTTCAAAAAAAATTTCGAATTTTAACCTTTTGAAACTCAATAAATTATAAGAATATTTATTAGAAAACATAAAGAAATCGATCACTCCGAGTTGAAGACTCGGAGCACTCGTTTTCTTCATGTTTTCTAATAATTAAAGATCAGCGAGTGATAAAATCATAATTTTATAATATAAGAATATTGTTACTGCAACTTCTTTAAAATTATTTTCATCATTTCAATTTTTTTCAATTATTATTTTGTAGATTTTTTTAATTAAAATTCTTCTTTAAATCAATTATTTATAATAATTTTTGAAAAAGTTCTTTGAGAATTTTCAAATTCCTTTGTTTACAATTCAATTTTAATTCAATTTTCTAATTTGAAATTTTGATTATTTAGCAATTCTTCAATCAAATATATATATTAGAAAAAAAACTAATTGAAAAAAAAAATTCTATTACAATTTTTCAAAAAAATTAATTCTACAGAATTGTTAGTTAAAAGTGTGAAAAATTTATTTTGAAACCTTTTTAAAATTCAATTATTTCCAAAAATTCCTGCTGTAGTACTTTTAATATTCAATTATTATCTAAATTTTTAACTGAAATTCAATTTTAAATCAATTTTTATTAGAAAATTCTACGAGAATGCAATTATTTAAATAGAAATAATGAATAATGTATTGAATAATTCAATTTTTTTTAAAAACTGAATTCTTATATAAAAAATTTCATCAACAAATTTTTAAGACAAATTATATTTTTCGAAAAATTTGATTAAAATTGTAATAAAAATAATTGAAATTGTGTGATGAGTTCTATTATTTATGAAAATAATGGAATTATTGCGTAAAATATTCTTTTTTAAAAAATTTAAATTCCTGTCAAATTTTTATTACTTATTAAAATAATTTCAAGAAAAAATTATTTCTACAAAAATTGTTAACTAAAAATATGATAAATTCAAATTGTCAAAAATTTTAATTTTATGACTTTTCAAAATTCAATTATTTCTAAAAATTCATCTTATAATGCTTCTAAAATTCAATTATTATCTCAAATGTTTATTGAAATTCATTTTCAAATAAATATTTATTAGAAAATTTTACGAGAATTTAACTATAAAAAAAATGAATAATTTAGTAAATCATTAAATGTTTCTTTAATTATTAAAGAATTTTTTTAATAAATTTTTAAATAATTAAATTCTTTCGACGAATTTTAATAAAAATTTTAAGAAAAATTATTATATTCTTCAAGGAATTTGATTAAAATTGTATTAAAAATAATTTAAATTTTGCCATGAATTTGATTATTTCTGAAAATATTTGAATTCCTAAAAAGAATTTTATTATGTATGAAAATAATTAAATCTCTGTAAAAAAAATTTATTATTCATTGAAAATAATTGAATCATTTGCGAAGAAATTTATGAAAAATTTGTAAATAATTGAATTCCTATGAAATTTTTATTATTTCTGAAAATAATTTAATGTTTGGGTATAATTTTATAAAAAAATTTTTAAATAATTGAATTCTTTTGGAAAATTTTATTAAAATAGTTGATATTGAAAATTAGTAAAATGAGAAAAATTTTTGAAAATAATTGAAATTTTGCCAAGAATTTTATTAAAATTTTTGAAAATAATTGAATTTTTGCCAAGAACTTCTTAAAATTTTTGAAAATATTTGAATTTCAAAGAAGAATTTTATTATTTTCAAAAATAATTGAAATTTTGACGAGAATTTAAAAAATATTTTTGAAAATATTTAAATTTCTGCGAAGAATGTTATTACTTCTGATATAATTTAAATTTTGACAAGAATTTTCTTGAAATTTTTGAAAATAATTGAATTTCAAAGAAGAATTTTATTATTTTCAAAAATAATTGAAATTTTGACGAGAATTTTAAAAAAATTTTCGAAAATATTTGAATTTCAAAGAAGAATTTTATTACTTCTGAAACAATTGAAATTTTGACAAGAATTTTCTTGAAATTTTTGAAAATAATTGAATTTCAAAGAAGAATTTTATTATTTTTCAAAACAATCGAAATTTTGACGAGAATTTAAAAAAATTTTTTTGAATATATTTGAATTTCTGCGAAGAATTTTATTACTTTTGAAATAATTAAAATTTTGACCAAAAAAAAAAACAACAAAACTGAGTATTTTCTTATGAATTCTAAAAATTTAATTTTTTCCAGTACTTTTAATAAAAACCCTCAACTTTTCCCTGACCTGTGGAAACCCTGATGAAAGTGTATATAATTTACGGGAAATAAGAATCGAAGTTAACTGACAATATTTTACAAAATAAAGTAAAAAAAAAGAATTATATAATATTGACCATGTGTGTAGCAATGGCGAAAAAGAGGAAGGAGGACCAGATTTACGGTCAGAGTGTTTAACACCAGGTCGCATTTACTTAGGAATTACGCAAGATGAATGATGATTAGCACTAAGCTATCGGTTTTACTATGAACTCGCCGATGGAAATTTAAAGGGGAGTCCGCCCATTGAGATAAACGCACAACTCAAAACAGGTGCGGCCACATTCTATAAAGATGAATTCCAAAAATTGCACCATCCTTAAAAAACTTTCCTCGATATCAAAATTGACATAATTCGTCCATAAGTCGATATTTACTCTTTAGTTCTTTTTTTTTGCAAACTTTCTAAAATTCACTTATGTTAATTAGTTTATTAATAACAATAAATGCAGAATTTTTTCAATTCAGTATTTTTCACAAATTAATATCAAAATTATAATGACAAAATTATAGATTGCAGTTCGAAAATTCAAATTTAAAAATTGGCGGTAAAAAAATGCGCATGCGCGATGAATCCATTTTCAATAAAAAATTATGACAATTAGAAACAAATTGACAATTGTTTTCTATTTCAAAAAATGATTTAATTTTCCCACGTTATGTTGAGGAGAAATTAGATTTATATAGCAGAAGAAAAGATAAATGTGTAGAGAGCAGACGACACTGCATTTATATTGGCGTCTGCTAGAAATAAACAGCTGATACTACCGTGTAGATAATTCTTTACCGGATTTCACTCCGTTTTCTAATAGAATAATTACTATAAACATCACGGCTTTCACGTGTGATCATCGAACTAAGAAAAGAGAGTTCTATCAATAATTACTGTCATGAAATAAACACTGACAATAACATTTTTCATTCAAAATTTATAAACGTCAAAAGTTCTGACAGATTCCACTTTACGTTATGTAACTTATTTTTTTTTAACAGTAAGGTTGAAAATTTATCTACTATTAAGTATATGCTATTTAATGAATGTTGCCAACTATTTATATAACATGAAAAACTACCGCGTGATTGAATTGTCAAAAGATATTTTGATTATATTCATTCAAAATACTGTAATTTTTCGTTCTTTGCAATTTTAGGTTAGAACAACCCAAGTAAAAAAGTAGAATACGCGTGAATTCAAATCGGAAGGTTATGTCAAATTTTTTTTCTGTAAAAATGAATTATTTGAAATATTGTCACGTTTTTTAAAAAATTTACTTAATTGGAAAAAATTAAATTTGGGGAATGTGTGTCAATAAAGGTTCCAACTGATCAAGGTTAAATTGATTAAAAATGTTGTCAAGGTACCTGGCAGTGTTGAAGAAGAGGGCTGGTAGGTTGCTCGACAACCTGTCGAAACTTAACACAAGCAGTAGAAACTTTCCTTCGAAACTGGGCAAAATGTCCGAATTGGCACAGTTTCTCCGCACGAGCACAGAACCGAGTCGACCCTATACAAGCCATAGCCAAAACTGTAATGAGCCGACGACTCGGCCGATCGCCGATGTCGACCGCAAAGTCTTTCAAGCTAGTTCCACTATTCCCCACATTTCATGTCAAAATCAATTCACAATTCACGATCCCCACCTTTAACCACCTTCTCCATTTTCCACTTCTCTATTCCTTTTTGGCGCAATTTTGAAACTACTGTACTATTCTGCATTATCGTCGTCCGGTTACTGCACCACGGGATCTGCATTATCAACCGAACGTAGAACAGTCCTACCAACAGTACCAACATAACAATAAGGTTATGTTTGTTTTCGTTCTTCACGTTCTACACTTTATTTTTCATAAATAAAACTTTAATTTCGAGAGTGACAACGGTAACAACAAATGATAGTGAAGAATTTATCTAATTTAAGTAGTTAAAAATATAGTTAATTGTTAATAGTATCATCAAATTTATTAATTATTATTCTAAAAACAATGGCCGGTCTTTTAACAACAAGAGTTTCGCTGATAAAAGCCATTCAAGTAAGTGAATATAAAAATGATATTAAATTTAAGTATTAAATATATAAGAAATTTTCACATAAGCACAGTGTTTATGTTTGGGATTTTTTTCCAGAAAACGCCAACATGTTTTATAGCGCCGACACAAGTGGAAATAATTAGAAATCGTATGGGGAAACACTGGGTTCCAAAATTTAAAAAGCAGCGATATGAGAAAGTTATTAAAGTAGAACTTCCAGACAGAAAGAGACTTAATAACTCTAATGACTTTACAGAAGAAGAGCAACGTTCTTACATGAAGAAATTTGGCATAAAACCTTACAGAACTGACTTTGAAAAGGGAATTGTTATGAACTGTACCAGTGACATTTTCGAGGCCTACGTTCCTCCAGAGGGAGACGGAAAATTTTCAGTTGCATCTAAAACAGTAGGATTATTTTTCTAGTTATTTATATTTTAGAAAATAAAAACTTCAAATAATATAAAAAAAAATTCAATTAAACTTTTTCAAAAAAATTAATTTCAAAATTCAATTATTTCTAAAAATTCACGCTATATTGCTTTTAATATTCAATTGCAATCTAAAATTTTAACTGAAATTCATTTTTATGAAATGAAAATCAATTTTTATTAGAAAATTCTACAAGAATTTAATTTATTTAAATGCAAAAGTAAATAATTTATTGAATAATTGAATGTTTCGCAAAATTCAATTCTCATAAAGAATTTTAGTAACAAATTTGTAAATAATTGAATTCTTTTGTCGAATTTTATTAAAACTTGCATGAACATAATTACTTTTTTCAAGTAATTCAATTATAATTGTATGAAAAAATAATTGAACAGATGCGATGAGTTTTTTTATGAGAATTTTCAAGTTCATTTGTTTACAATTCAATTTTACAAAATTTCAATTATTCGAAAATTCTGCAATTAAATATTATATTGAAAAATAAAAGCTTGAAATAATTTCAAAAAAATCCTATTAAACTATTTAAAAAGAATTAATTCTACAGAATTTTTTGTCAACAAATGATTTTAGTTTAAAACTTTTTAAAAATTTAATTATTTCTAAAAATCCACGTTATAATGCTTTTAATATTTAATTATAATCTAAAATTTAAACTGAAATTCATTTTTAAAACCATTTTTATTAGTAAATTCTACGAAAATTCAATTATTTAAATAAAAAAATTAATAATTTATTAATTTCATGTTTCTTTAAATTAAATTCTCATAAAAAATGTTATCAACAAATTTTTTAAATCATTAAATTCTTTGGTCGAATTTGAATAAAATTTTTAAGAATAATTACATTTTTCGAGGGATTCGATTAAAATTGCATTAAAAATAATTGAAATTCTGCAATGAGTTTTATTATTTATGAAACTAATTGAATTCTTAAAAGAATTTTATTATTTATAAAAATAATTGAATCCCTGTAGAAATGTTATTATTTATGAAAGTAATTGAATTATTGCGAAGAAATTTATAAAAAAAAATTTGTAAATAATTGAATTTCAGTAAAAATTTTTATTATTCATGAAAATAATTGAATGTTTTACTGTGATTATTATGTTTCAGGGATTTCAACAAACTGCAACAACAATTGGCAAGAAAACAACTTCTATGCTTTCAATAAGAAAAATTAGGAGCTACATAGAAGAATTTTCACAAGAAGCTTTCGCGGAAGAAGCCAGAGATATTTATATTAAAGCACACACTGCTTTAGCAGAGTAAATAACTTACTTTTCAAAATTACGGTATCCGGACAAAAAGTCCAAACCAAAGAATCCAAAGTAAATTGAATCCAAAAAAATAGTTTCATTTTGGACTTATTTTTTTGGATTTTTTGTCCTGGTCAAAAAGTCCAAAGAAATTAAAAATCCAATGAAAAAAATTGAGATATAAAAATTCAAATGATTGCCTTGAATGAAATTTTCCTTTTTCTTGAGTTGTTAGTTAAACTCAACATTTTAAATTTCTGAAAATAATTAAATTAATCGAGTAATTTAATTGGAATTATATTTAAAAAAATAATTGTATTGCTTGGAATAATTGTTTTAAAAATTTTATAGAATAATTGAGATTTTTCTAGAAATTTTTTTTATTTATGAAAATAATTTAATTTTTGTGAAGAATTTTTTTATTTATAAAAATAATTTAATTTTTGCGAAGAATTTTTTTATTTATAAAAATAATTGAATTTTTGTGTAGAATTTTATTATTTATGTAAATAATTAAAGTCCTGCGATTTTAAAAAATTAATATTTTAAATTTCGATTTTATAACGTGGTTTTTTCACATATTTCATTATTTATTTTGTACGTTTTTATTTATTTTCAAATTTAATTTCAAATTTATATTTAAATCTACACTTTAACTACATAAAATACAGAAGATTAAATTTGCAGTTTTTTTTTGTAACAAGTCGTTTCCTTTTTATTTGCAGGAAAGATTTTGATAACCTCACGGACCATGTGACGGAAAAAGCATACATGGTGAGTCAAAGTTAATCGTTTCTTTCTATCAATAGTAATTTCTACTAATTTTCAAAAAGTTTATTAATATAAGCAAAACCGATTTAAAAAGAAGTGTCCGGTTTTGATTAATTTTGGAAAAAGAATCAAATCTATCATCGTTTCGGTATTTTTAACATTTTCAGTTGATTTACTTTCGTTTTTGAACAATATCTTCAATTAATCATTTCAGGCAATGACTCACAATATCAAAAACAAGCAGATTCGGTGGAAATTCATCGAATCGTTAGAACCTGCTCGATTAGTTCGCGCTCGACATCAGGGCGCAAATGATCAAATGTACGCTCAAGTGACAGTACGATTTCATACCAAACAGGTTCGTTGGAAATTTTTTTTTTTTTTTTTTTAAATCAATTGTTATTTTAACGTAATTAATTACTTTTTTTAGTCCTTGGCCGTTTATGATCGATTCGGACGCTTAATGCACGGAAGTGAATTTGTCGGAAAAGATGTTTTGGAGTATATTGTCTTCGAGAGATTCTTGACACACACCTATGGATCGTGGCGTCTTCACGCAAAAATTATTCCACCTTGGCATCCAGAAAGAGAACCAATTCCAACAACTGTTGTTAAACCTGTAATTGAAGCAAAAGAAGAGCAATTGCCGGTCGCCAAAGCTAAAGAAATTCCACAAGTTCCTCGTTTAGATGGTCATTAAAAGGCGAAAAACACCAATGAAATTCTATTTACGAAGTATTGTTAATAAAAAGAAAATATTAAATCTTTTTTTTAAATTCTAATTCAACTGGTACATGTAAATTTTATTCTTTTCATTTTTCATTATTTTTATTTCTATTTTTTTCATTTTTATTTCATTTTTATTTTTCATTATCATTGGATTGACTAAATCGTAATTTCTTTCAATATTGCAGATCGAATAATAGGAAAAATAACGAATCGACAGTTAAAATAAAACGGAAATTTAATTTTTACAAGTTAAATGTCAAGTCAGAAAATTAAATTTCAAAGTTACGATTACAAACCTAAATAATCGGAATTCAGATTATTTTTTGTCGTGTATCCATTTTTAATTTTTGGACGTTGGAAGAATAATGTAGTTTTACCAGAAACTGTCAACGAATGCGCAGGTCATCACAAGAGACGCAGTTTAGATTCTCGCACTGAAACGCAAACGTGCATTCGAATAGAAACTTTTGAACAATATTCCAAAATTGCTTGTTTTTGAAAAACCAACATTACAAAGGAATGAAAATATTTCGTTCGCTAAAAATAGTGTTTCATTCACGAAGATTTTGATAAAGATTATTTCAAAATTTGGAAAATATTCGCAAATAATCAAAGATCCGCTCTGCAACGGAAGTCACGTATTCGCGAACTTTTTTTGAAAATTGGTAACTTATTTATAATTTGTTTATTATAATAATTTCTTCTGTATTTTTTTACGAAATTCTTCGCAATATTTAAAAATTTAATAATTCAATAATTTAATTTACAATTTTTATTACTGAACTGAACTGATTTTTGAATAACTTTTTTTTCAGATTGTCAATCATAGTTTTTTGTTCTACTAAAAGTATTTCAAATCTTCCGAAAATGTAGTGAAATTTTTTGCCCTGAATTTAAGTTTTCAAGAAATAAATATGCAAAATCCTGTCAAATTGAATTTCGGTAAGTTAATTATATGTAATTTTTAAAAATTTTAAATTGATACTTAAAAAAAATATGGAGAAATGAAAAATACTGAATCTAAGGACAAAATTCAAAGTTAAAAAAATAATTGCTACACTACAAAAAATAATTAGGTTCTACATAATAATTTTTAGAATTAATTAACCATTTTGAATGTGAGGACTTCATACGTTGAAAAACGCACATATAGTGTGACCTCGAACCTTCAAATGCCCTCGTAGTTTCTACGCCCGCCCAACTTTCTGTTCAAACTACGCTGTAATGCTAAAATATCCTTATGGTTACTCCAAAAGGTTTTTCGAAAAATTATTCCAAAAGAATTTTTCCATCTAATTTTTGCTGTAAAGAAAAGAAATTACAAAGATAATTGTATCTTTCTATTTATGCGAATAATTTTACTTAACAGCAATCGATTCTGATTACAACCAAAACCAATCAAAAAAATTATTTTTATGAAACATTCAACAAAAAGACACGAGAAATATTAATTGAAAAAATCAAAAACAATTGACAAAAAATTGCAAAAAGTTTTTAGAAATGAAAACTAATTTAATTCCTCTTTTTCAAATCGCATAGAATTTTTTTTACTGTTGAATTCCAAAAAAAGAATACAAATTAAAAATAAAATTTCCAAATTGAATTTTTATGGGCAAAAAAACAATCCAATTTATAAAATTTGGAATTTTTCACTGTTGAATTCCAAATGGAGAATGCAAATTAACAATAAAATTTCTAAATTTCCAAATGGGATTTTTTTTTTGGTAAAAAAAAATCCAATTTATAAATTTGGAATTTTTTACTGTTGAATTTCATATAGAGAGAAAACCAATTACCAATAAAGTTTTAAATGTGTATTTATTTTGTCGAAAAAAAAATCCAATTTGGAAATTTGGAATTTTTCTGTTGAATTCCAAAAAGAATTCAAATTAACAATAAAATTTTCAAATTGCATTTTTTTTTTTTTGGTAAAAAAAGTCCAATTTGTAAATTTGGAATTTTTTACTGTTGAATTCCAAATAGAGAATACAAATTAACAATAAAATTTCTAAATTTCTAAATAGAGAGAATACAAATTAACAATAAAATTTAAAAGTTTTCAAATTAGATTTTTTTTGCAACAAAAAATCCAATTTATAAAATTTGGATTTTTTTACTGTTGAATTCGAAATAGAGAGAATACAAATTAACAATAAAATTTTTAAATTCGATTTATTTTGTCAAAAAAAATCCAATTTGTAAACTTTGAATTTTGTATATTGTGAATATAAATTAAGAATAAAGTTTCCAAATTGGATTTTTTTTTGACAAAAAAAAGAATGTAAAAGTAGAGATACAAAAAAATAATTTTCAAATTGGATTTATTTTGTCAAAAAAAATTCAATTTGTAAATTTGGAATTTTTTACTTTTGAATTCGGAAAAGAGAAAAAAAATAAAAAAAAATTTTTTTGATTTAGAAATTGCATTGTTTTTGGCAATAAATAATTCAATTTATAAAATTTAGAATTTTTTACTGTTGAATTCCAAATAGAGAATGCAAATTAACAATAAAATTTTCAAATTGGATTTATTTTGTCAAAAAAAATCCAATTTGTAAACTTTGAATTTTTTATACTGTTGAATTCCAAAAAGTGAATATAAATTAAGAATAAAATTTCCAAATTGGATTTTTTTGCCAAAAAAAAGAATGTAAAAGTAGAGATACAAAAACATAAATTTCAAATTGGAATTATTTTGTCAAAAAAAATTCAATTTGTAAATTTGGAATTTTTTACTGTTGAATTCCGAATGGAGAAAACAAATTAACAAAAAAAAATTTTAATTTCCAAATTTAATTTTCTTTTTTGGCAATAAATAATCCAATTTATAAAATTTAGAATTTTTAACTGTTAAATTCCAAATAGAGAATGCAAATTAACAACGAAATTTTCAAATTGGATTTATTTTGTCAAATAATATCAAATTTGGAAATTTGGAATTTTTTACTGTTGAATTCCAAATAGTGAATATAATGTAACAATAAAAATTACAAATTTCCAAACTGAATTTTTTTTGGCAAAAAATAATCCAGGGATTTTTTACTATTGAATTCTAAATAGAGAATACAAAAATTAAGAATAAAATTTCCAAATTGGATTTTTGTTGTAAAAAAATACAGTTGATAAATTTAGAATTTTTTACTATTAAATTCCAAATAGAGAATACAAATTAACAATAAAATTTATAAATTTCCAAATAGAGAAAATACAAATTAAGAATAAAGTTTTTAAATTGCATTTTTTTTGGCAAAAAAAATATCCAATTTGTAAATTTGGAATTTTTTACTGTTGAATTCCAAATAGAGAGAATACAAATTAACAATAAAATTTTCAAATTGCATTTTTTTTTGGCAAAAAAATCCAATTTGTAAATTTAGAATTTTTTTATTATTGAATTCCAAAAAGTGAATATAAATTAAGAATAAAATTTCCAAATTGGATTTTTTTTGCCAAGAAAAATCCAATTTGTTGCATTTGGAATTTTTTACTGTTGAATTCCAAATAGAAAGAATAAAAATTAACAATAAAATTTTAAAATTGTATTTATTTTGTCGAAAATAATATCCAATTTGTAAATTTGGAATTTTTCTGTTGAATTCCAAAAAGAAAATATAAATTAAGAATAAAACTTCCAAATTGGATTTTTGTTGTCAAAAAAGAAATCCAATTTGTAAATTTAGAATTTTTTACTTTTTGAATTCCAAATAGAGAATACAAAAATTAACAATAAAATTTCCAAATTGGATTTTTTTTTTTTGCCAAAAAGAAGAATGTAAAAGTAGAGATACAAAAACATGATTCGCGCCGCCTCCACAAGTTGGCAGCACTATGTAGCTCGCTTACTTGCGGCCACCATTGCTTTGGTTGATGCCTTGACGATTTTTTGGCCGAAAAAAATCGTATATTCGACGGACTTGTACAGACTTCGAAAGAAAGGTGTGTAATAACGAGAAATCAAATCGCCAAATTCCCTTCTTCATTTTGTGCATTACAACAGTGTCAGGATTTCCATTTGGATTTACTCATTAAAAAAAGCCTAGTGAAATCAAGTGTGGCCATCGATTTACGCGAAAGAAAGAGGCACCCATGTCCGTCGGCTATATGTCGTCGGGGTGTTGGTGCGTTTGAATCGTTGATTATACCGTGTGCGTGAACAAGTGCCGGTAAACACGCGTTTCTGTGTTTTTTCCAATACACAATTCCATAATGTGTCCAGGTCAAAGAACATAGAAAACAATTGACAAAGCTGTTGGGATTTTAACGACATCAAAAAAATACGTTCATCGTTGCCCTCTGGCGATATTTTGTTAATCAAAATACAATTCGCTGTTCGTCATTAAAAAAAATTGTGTTTTACAAGTGATACAATTGATTATCATCATTTAATTAAATGTCCAATATCGTGTTTCTTTAAATCCTTACGTGGCCCTTTTTGCCCGCGTGTAAAGCGTACCTTTTATGCACGCCTGCATGTGTGCGCCTGTCGCACCTACACTTGATTTTCTGAACATTGCAATTTTATGAATTTCTCTATAACCTCACGAATTATTCATATTCTCACTCGTGTGAATTCATCTAAATTCTATATTATGTATTTTTCGCTCCGTCACCTCCATCACGATTCTTCCTCTCGACAAGTTTGTTAACGTCATCCGCCACGCCGAATTTTCCGCCCTTGTTTTTTCCACGATTTTGCACCTGTTCGCGTCCAACGGAATTTGCATTTATACCCTTTTTGTAGTTAAACGTAAATTTATTTTAACTGTGAGAAGAAAGCGGAAATTTTTAAATTCTTGTTTATGTTAATTTTGGGGGACTTTGGATAAGTACTTTTTGGTTCAATTAAAATGGGATCCTAATTAGGGAAAACGTTTTTGAAAAACGATTTTCTAAATTTTATATATTATTTTCGGAAGAAACGGACTATTTCTCTATTGTTGTTTTAATGACAATTTTTTGGAGTAAACACTTTGGATAGTTTTTTTAATTATTTACAAAATTATTAGCAAAATTGCTGTAATTAATGCAGCATCTTAAGAACTAGAAAATTGTAGCATATGTCAACCTACACAAATTTGTTTTTTTAAAAGTTGTATCTTTCCCACAGGAAAAGGACGTATCTGTCCCACAGCGTAGGCTTTGGTAAATTCTTTAACTGAAATCATTGAATATTCATACTTTGTATTTCTGACTCTCTTTTGAGAAGTAAAACTAAAAGTAGTTCTAATTTGAATGAATTGATTTTTCATACTTGGAAAATTGTCCAAGTTTTGCTAGACTACAATTGTGTAAACATTCGTCTTCTGCTAATGATAGTTTCACAATAATGAAAAGTCGCTCCTTCCATGTTTTTAATTTGTAGACCTTGTAATTTTAATTCTTTTTAATTATGTTGAAAGTATTTTAATGAGAATTTGTTTGAGGTAAACATTTGTTTTTTTTCAATTTTTGTTTGAAAATTGCGAAAATTGTTACAAAATTACAAAAAAAAATTTTGTTTTGCAGAATTGGATAAAGCTCTCAATCAACAATTGATCAGAGACAACGAGCTTCAAAATTGGTATTATTTATCCTGCATTGGACAGAATTACAGGAACATTTCAAACACTAATGAACATTTGCTGAGACAGTCAACATCGTTTCAGCATGGTGTGACTTTGTTCGAACCTGATGCTGCCTTCAGCAATGGTAAATTATTTTTTCCTTACTTTTTTAATGACAAATTTTTATACACTTGTAAAAAATACTAAAAAGTTAAAATTCGTAATGCAGGCTTCACAGTCTGTCCCCTATTTCCCTAAAAGTCCCCTTTTTTTAATTTTGACCCCTAAACGTACCCTATTTTGAAAATTTCCCCTATTTTTTTCTTTTATCTTTTAATGATGAATTCACACAAAATTTAGCTTCGTAAACTATGAAACTGCCACTAATTCTGATACAAAACCCTCAAAAAATTTTTCTATTTCTGCCAAGAATGAATTTTTTAATATTATTTAATTATTACAAAAGTTTTAATGCAATTATCTTGATAAATAACAAAATTCTTCACAGAAATTCAATAATTTTTAGGAATTTTTAATAAAATTCTTTACAAAATTCAATTATTTTCATAAGTTGTAAAAAATTCATCCAAAGAATTCAATTATTTTCAAAAGTAATGAAATTCTTCGAAGAAATTCAATTATTTTTATAAAATTTTCACGAATATCTTGTCAAGAATTCAATTATCTTTACAAATAGCAAAATTTTTCGCCAAAAATTCAATTATTTTCAAAAATTTATAAAAAATCTTTGCAAAAGTTCATTTACGAATTCAATTATTTTCATCGCAGAATTTCAAATATTTTTAATAAAATTTTTAAAAACTTCCTAGAAAAATGCAATTATTATTAAAAATTTTATTAAAACTTGAGGAAAGAATTCAATTTTAAAAAACAATCAATTATTCAATAAAACAATAAAATTCGTTGCAATAATTCAAATATTTTCATAAAATTTAATTAGTCGCTGAAAATCAATTATTTTCAAAAATTTTCAAGTAATTCTGCAGAAGAATTCAATTAGCTCGATAAACAACAAAATCGCATAAATTCTTCCCATAAAATCAATTATTCTAAGGAATTTTGATAAAATTCTTTTCCAAAATTCAATTATTTTGATAAATATCAAAAATTTATCACAAGAATTCAATTTTCTTCTTTATTCAAAATTTTCTTTTGAAAAGTAATTAAATACTTTGTAGAAATTAAATTATTTTCAAATTTTTTTTAAAAATCTTCTCAGAAATTCAATTATTTAAAAAAAATTTAATAAAATTTGATGCAAGAATTTAATTACTTTCATAAATAATTAAATTTTTACAAGAATTCAATTATGTTGAAAAGTTTGAATAAAATTAGTTTTAAAAATTCAATTATATTTATAAATAATAAAAGTTTTAAAGGAATTGAATTATTTAAAAAGTTTTTATCAAAATATTCTTAAGAATTCAATTATTTTTACAAATTATAAAAATCTCAGAAATTCAATTAGTTTTAAAAATTTTATTATAATTCCTCTTAGAAATTCAATTATTTTTAAAAATTTTAATAAAATTCTTTTCCAAAATTCAATTATTTTGATAAATATCAAAATTTTATCAGAAGAATTCAATTCTTTTGAAAAGTAATTAAATACTTTGCAGAAATTAAATTATTTTCAAAAATTTTTTTAAATTCTCGTCAAGAATTAAATTATCTTTATAAATAGATAGGTAAATTCTTCTCAAGAATTAAATTATTGTCAAAATTTTTTTTAAAATTCTTCTCAAGAAGTCAATTATTTTCAAAAAATTTAATAAAATTCTTCTCATGAATTCAATTTATTGTTTTCAAAAATTATTATTTAAATTCTTCTTAGGAATTCAATTATTTTAAAAAAATTTAATAAAATTCTTCAAAAAGTTTTCAATTTTTCAAAAGTTGTTAATACAATTCTTCGTAAAAATTAAATTTTAAGAAACATTCAATATTATTTATTTTTATATTTAAATAATTGATTTCTCGTAGAATAAATTTATTATTTTTCGTACTTTTAACTAACAATTCTGTAGAATTAATTTTTTTGCAAATGTTTAATTGAATAATAATTGATGTTATTGATTTAAAGTAGAATTTTAGTTAAAAATTCTAGAAAATGTTTATTGAATTGAAATGATACAATTAGTTTTGAAGAAAATACAGTAACAATATTCTCATAATAATAAACTAACGATTTTGTCAGTCGGTCATCTTTATGTTTTATAATAATATTCTTATGAGTTGTTCAATTTGAAAAGGTTTGAATTTGAAATTTTTTAACATCTTAATTCTAATGAAAAAGAAATGATTAAATATTTATTTTAAATAAAACTATTAATATTTTCGAATAATTTTACTTTTGAAGAAATTTGTAAATAAATTTAATAGAACATTTTTTTGAGTATCTAATAATTTTTAGAGTGAATCCAGAATATTCTTTAGGGTCAATAAGGAAAAAGTCAAAGTTGTGTTTGGAAATTAGGGAAAAATGAAGTTAAATTTTTGTGGCAACCCTGTATAAATAAATTATATTTTTATCTTTATTTAACCAATTTTTATGGTCCCCTAAAAGTCCCCTATTTTTTAATTTTCAGTCCCCTGTTTTCCCTAAAATACTTTTTAGGGGTACTGTGAAGCCTGCACTTGTAAAAATACTAAAAAGTTAAAATTCGTAATGATTTATAAATTTTTCTTCATTTTTCAGGGTTTTCGATACAAGGAAATGCGCCTTATGGGGCGCTGCCAACAAACTTCTACTGGAACAATAATCAAGAATTATTGCTAACACATAAGGACTTACTGAAACCCGATACAAACAACACAGTAAATCCAATTTTAAGCATTATCGACAATTCCTGTGGTATCGACGGCTTTACAGAACCAGCTTACAATTATCGAACAAGATCTGACTTAGTCTCTAAACAAGCAATTTTTTCTTCTATCACGCCATTAATAAATTATAATTCAAAATACAATCTGGAGGAGAACGGTGATAATTCGACCGCCACGTCTTCGACAAAAGATCAAAACAAAAGATCATTTCTCTCACCACAAGAAATCTCTAGTTATAATTCACGGCCTTTAATTAATTCTCATCAAACAATTTCAAAAAATTCATCTCTATCAAACACATTTTTCAAGAAAAATACTGAAATACCAAAATATCAGAAATTAACAATTGACGAGCCTTCTTGTTCAAATCAAAACGAAATTAATGAGAGATTGGCTTTAAACTTACTCAAAGGCACTATAGATTTTAATTGTGACATTGATAAAATATTGAAATTAGATACAAAAACGTTAAACGAATTATTTAGTGATAATACGGAAAGAAGAATTTTTGAGACATTCGAAATGTCGGGACAATATCCTGGTCATAGTCGGCCACCAGTTGGCACACCACCTCCGCAAACTGTCTGGAATCATCTCACCATGACACAAGGACAAGGTATTTTCACCTGCTAGTAGTTTTGATATTTTCATTTTTATAACAATTAAAAAAGATCAAACATTCATTTTTGTAGCTTATCTTATCGCAAGTAATTTTGATAAGAAACGTAGTTAAAAAAAACTTCAAAATTGGTTGTACAATTTTTATCTTTTCAAAAGGAAATATGTACTTTAGATTTTCGAATCAATACACCTGAACTACACACAGGTTATTCTTTACTTTTTCTATTTACATTTTTCTTTTTGTTTCATTGATTTTTTCTTTCTTTTAAAGTAACTTTTTATTAGCCATAAGTTACAGTTTTTCATGTCATCCTTTTTAGAAAATGAACCTGTTTTAAAAATTCTAACCTATATTTTTGTAGTTTATTAATTTATTGCAATCCTTGGATAATACGACTTTTTGGACATTTTTCCGACTATTTTCTGAAAAAGCGTTTTTTTCGACTTACTTTAAAAAAAACGATTTTTTCGAGACTTTTTCCAAATATTGCAATAAAATACAACTTTTTTTGGTATATTATAAAGCAACTTATTTCGATTTTTGTAGTAAATCATCTTTTTAAATTTGTTTTGAATATCTATAATTTTTTTAGATAATTAAATTTTCAAAAAGTTTTTAAATAACTGAAATTTTATATAATTTGAATTAAAATAATTGATTTTTTTGAAGAATTTTTTAATAAAATTATTGAAAATGGAATTTTAAATTGATTAAAATTGAAATTGCAATTTTTAATTAATTTTTTATTTGCAAATGGGTCAGGCTTAGCCAAACGGATCGGATAAATTCAAAAATTTCTTTTTTTAATGAAATATCTTTTATTCTCATCTTCATGTAACAAAAATAATGTCATAAAAAATTTAAAGCAAATAAAAAATTTTTGTTATAGTTATTAACAATTAAAGTTTTTAACAATATTAAATGAAAATATTTTTTTCTTGAGTTCTTTTTAACCGATTTCAAAAACCAAATAGGCGTTTTTTTCGTCTTGAAGCGTAGAATTTAAAAATATATTTTGCTTAAAAAATTTTTAATTTTTAATTGTTTTTTAAATTATTTATTTATAATATTATTATAATATAATAAAAAACAGTCTTCTTCACGCTATACGTAAAATTAAAAAATACTATCGTATTCTGCATATATTTTTAAGTAATAAACAATGGAGAAAAATAATAGCCCGCTAATAGAAATAACAATATTAAATTATTTTTGTCGCCGTGTAAGTCGTTTTGATGGTGTTCGCTACCGCTGCGCTGTTTTCGCGTTATACATCAAGTTTAAATTTGAGGTTCTTTTGTTTTTTTTAATGTTTGTCTGCGCTGCGATGGCAGTGAAAAAAAATATATGCAGAATACGATAGTATTTTTTAATTTTACGTATAGCGTGAAGAAGACTGTTTTTTATTATAATATTATAAATAAATAATTTAAAAAACAATAAAAAATAAAAAATTTTTTAAACAAAATATATTTTTAAATTCTACGCTTCAAGACGAAAAAAACGCCTATTTGGTTTTTAAAATCGGTTAAAAAGAACTCAAGAAAAAAATATTTTCATTTAATATTGTTAAAAACTTTAATTGTTAATAACTATAACAAAAAATTTTTTTTTGCTTTAAATTTTTTATGACATTATTTTTGTCACATAAAGATGAGAATAAAAGATATTTCATTTAAGAAAAAAATTTTTTGAATTTATCCGATCCGTTTGGCTAAGCCTGACCCAAATATTGAAAATAATTGTGTACTCAAAAATTCTAGTAAAAAATCTTCAAATGAAAATTTTAAAAGAAAAATGAATGGAAATTAGCTTCTAAAAACTATATTAAAATATTTTTTATAAAAACTAATTCTTAGAATTTCATTATAATATTAAATTTAATTATTTACGAAAGATATGTATTTCTGAATTTTTCTATTCTGTATAATTACAAAATCCGTTAAATTTTAACAATTATTTTAAAAAATTAATATTAAGAGTATCTTTATTATAATTTTTTAAAAATCAATTATTTTCAAAATCTTTTACTAAATTTGAATTATTTGCAAATTTTTCAATTCTATAAAATTCAAAAACCATTATTGCTTCATGGGTCAATCTCTAGAAATGAACAAATTCAGAATTGAAATTTCATTTTAAAAAAAGTTGAAAATTCACTTTTATTATTAGTCCTTTGGCAAAAGGGGGATCCTAATAAGCCTATAAAATACGTGGTTACAATCTTTATCAACATTATTATTAAAAATTAATGTTTTTTAATCAGAATTTTTGTTGAAAATTTCTCGCAGCTAAATGGGTTTCAAAATTGATGAAAATTAATTAAAACTCGTTACTCAGGGGTTTTAGGGGTCGCCGATTACGAATCCGATGTCAGTTTCTCAAAATCCAAAATGGTGGATCCAATATGGCAGACACTTTCTTCAAAAATTTAACGGATTTGCTTGAAACTCGTTACTCGGGGGTTTTCGGGGTCGCTGATTATGAATTTCAAGATAGTTTTTGAAAATTGAAAATGGCGGATCCAATATGGTGGACAGTTTTTTCAAAAATTCATCGGGTATGCTTGAAACTCGTTATTCGGGAGTTTTCGGGGTTGCTGATTACGAATCCGATGTCAGTTTTTGAAAATTCAAAATCCCGAAATCCCCAGAGCGACAAGTTTTAAGCCAATCTAATTAATTATTCATACTAGATCAGCCATTTGCAATTTTCAAAAACAAACATCAAATTCGAATTCAGCGACCCCAAAAACCCCTGAGGAACGAATTTGTATCGAATAGCATCAATCTTCAAATTATCCGCCATATTGGATCCGCCATTTAAATTTTTTTAAAACTGACCCAAAATTCGTAATCAGCGACCCCGAAAACCCCCTAATAACAAGTTTCAAGCAAATCCGATGAATGTTTTAAAAAATTGTCCGCCATGTTGGATCCGCCATTTTGAATTTTCAAAAATTATTATCATATTCGTAATCAGCAACTCTAAAAACCCCCGAGTAACGATTTTCAGGCGAATCCGATGATTAATAAAGTCTGTAATTTACGTGCTGTGTAATGGAAATATACCATGGGTAACGGAGGGGAGTTTTCTTCCATTACACAGCTTCAAAATGTTCTGATTCTAATATAAAAAAAATAAATATTATAAATAAATTAATGACAGCATTTGTTTTCTTTGTTTTTAAATAAAACAATGTTTTAAAGATTATTAAAAATTATTATTATTTACGTCCTAAAAACTAAATTTACTGCGGTAACGGAGGGGAGTTTTTATTGTGTCGATGAACACTGACAAACTAAAGATTCTTTTAAAACTAATTGTTTTCATTTTGTTTCATCATTTTATGCAATAACCATAACTATACTGACACTACAAAGAGTTTTGATGTATTTATTTCTATTTTATCGTTTTTGTTTATATTTTATAATTATATTTGTGAGCGGTAACGGAGGGGAGTTTTATTTCTGCACAAAACTAATTTAATTCTAGGTAAAAATAACTAACAAATATTTTACTTTATTTTTCATGATTGAATTAGAAATAAAAAAATAAGTAGATATTACCGGGCAAAAGATTTTTTTGTATTACAGAATTAATATAATACCTTTTCTATAAATGAAACTTACTTCATGAACGGTAACGGAGGGGAGTTTTTATGCTATATAAACACGTGTATCTTTAAATATTTCAAATTTTCGATTTATTTTTTATAGGATCCGATTAAATCATGATGAATGCTATTATTAGGACGTAAAGATTTTGAAAAATTATTATTATTTATTTTTAAAAATCTAATGTACGTGTCATGTGCCCCGATTGTGAGAATGACCCTCATAAATTATTTGAAAATCAATTATTTTTAATATTTTCGCTAAACATATTTTCAATAATAATTCAACATAAGAAATTCTAATAAAAAATTATGAATATTTATTGTTACAATTACTTTTTTATTAAATAATTTAATTTTTGAACAACTTTCGCAAAATTATTAAAAATAATTTACTTACAGGAGAAGTTTACTTGTTTGTATTCTTAATCAACTAAAAGCGACTTTTTTGCGCCTTAAAATCGATCCGCGGCCTATTATAAGTTTCTTTTAGTTGTGTAACTAAAATTTTTCAAAAATTATTTTCATATTAATAAATATTTCACACAAGTTCAATTATTTCTGATTTATTTATAAATTTTTTCGCAAGAATTCAATTATTTTCATAAATAATAAAACTCATTGCAGAATTTCAATTATTTGTAATTCGATTTTAATTAAATTCCTCAAAAATTTTAATAAAATTCTTGGCAAAATTTAAATTATTACCCAAAATTTTCCTCAAATCAATGCTTTTCAATATCTACTATTTTTAATAGAATTTTCCAAAAGAATTCAATTATTTAAAAAAAATTTGATTCAATTCTACGAAAAGATTTAATTATTTTCATAAATAATAACATTTTTTTACAGGAATTCAATTATTTTCATAAATAATACAGTTTTTTCGAATTTCTCGAAAAAAATAATTATTCTTAAAAATTATATTAAAATTCGGGAAAAGAATTCAATTATTTTAAAATTTGTTGATAAAATGCTTTATGAGAATTCAATTTTCAGAAAATTCAATTATTCAATAAATTATTTATTTTTATATTTAAATAATTGAATTCTCGTAGAATTTTCTAATAAAAATTGATTTAAAAATAAATTAAAATAAATAACTTTTCGAAGTAATTGAATTTTGAAAAGCTTTCATATTAAAATCGTTGTAAAATTGAATTTTTAGTACTTTTAACCCTTTTAACTAACAGTTCTATAGAATTAATTTTTTTGAAAATGTTTATTTCAATTTTGTTGAAATTATTTGAAGTTTTTATTTTCTAATATATATTTATTTGAAGAATTTCTTAATTTTATCGAAATTTTTCGTAAAATTGAATTGTAAACAAATGAATTTGAAAATTCTCAAGAACTTTTTTAAATATCTACCTATAATAATAATCGTTGTATTCCGGTAGTCTGTTCGCAGTTTGAAGTTAGTTGTTTGCTTTTTTTGTCTCCTTACTTTTTTAATAATTTTTCTTTTTAAATAATTTTTATTTTTTAAAATTAATTTATTGAAAATCATCGAAGTGTTGCAAAAAATGTTATCAAAAAATTTGATAATAATAGAATTCCTTCGAAGAATTTTATTATTTAGGAAAATAATTGAATTCTTGAGAAGAAATATGTTAACATTTTTGATAATTCTAATTAAATTCTTTTTGAAGAATTTCTTTGAATTTTTTTTTAAAATAATGGAGTTTCTTTAAAAAATTTTGATTAAAAATCTTAAAAATAGTTGAATTTTATGAAAAATTTCTTTCAAGTTTTTAAAATAATCGTTTGTTAGTAATTGAAATTAGACATTTATTATAATATTTTTATAATTTGTTGAATTTCGAAAAGGTTTAAATTTGAAAATCTTAATCAGAATATTCTTTACGGTCAGGGAAAAAGTCAAAATTTTGTCTGAAAATCAGAAAAAAGTCAGAGAAGAATAAAATTACATTTTTTTGACAACCCTGATGAAATTTTCAATTTGATTGGAAAATGTTTATATTTGAGTATTAATTATTTTTAATATGCTTCTAGGGTTGAATATACATCCAACGGCGTTATCTGGTGCGTCGTTAAATCCAGCGGGATTTTACACACATCCATCAATGGCACGAGCGTCTCATTTAACACCTCAACTTACACCTCAGTTGGCGCATACTCAGGCTCCTCCTACGTGGCACACGCCAACAGTACCTGCAAAAACAATGACACCGTCAAACACAGCCGGCAATCCTTTATTCAGCCTTCAAATGTTAGTTGATAATCGACAAAATCAAAATCAGTACAGAAACGCCCCAGGCGTTCAAAGCAGTCTCGATCTATCGGCAACGTCTGAAATGGCAGAAAACTACTCACGAATACCTCAAGATATTCCCATTAGTTTAACTGCTCGCAATATAGATAAGGGCAGTCGAAATGGAAATATAATTTCTCCGCCAATACCTCTGAACGGTGACACATCATGCGACAGTGGCATTAGTTCCTCAGTTCCCACACCTAATTCACTCAGTGAGCCAGTATCACTTTCCACCAAGGAAATAATTACACCTAAAATAACAGTCAAAAATTTCGAAAGTAATCTTAAGGGCGTCTCGAATCTTCACGATAAAATAAAGGAGAGCAGTATTGACAGTTTTGTGCAAAAAGTTATCAATCTACCTCCAAATGTGACAATTGAAAGAGTCACGTCAGACAAGAAGGACACAGAAGTGACAAAATGTAAAGACACATTAAGCGTTATTGCGCAAGTGCCAAGAAACGTTATGCCAGTTATTGTCAATCTAACATCAAAGGACAAGGATATGATTGACAGTCCCCATCGTGAACCATCGTTGGAGACTGAGAGAAAAATTGAAGACATGAGTGTTCGATCGCCAAAAACATCATTGAAACGTTGTGGAAAGAAAGGTGTCGATTCACTTTTGGAAAAATTAGAAAGTGGTAATAAAAAACTCGGTACAGAAAATATTATTGGCTCTGTTATTGTCACTCCATTGGAGGAGAAAGATTCCGCCAGTGTTAAAAGCATGTCACCAGAACGGCATATATCAAGGTCACCCAATCGAGACGAGGATGTCATTTCTCCGTTCAGTAATGAGGACTCAAATGACAATACCAAGCAGCGAAGAAAACGAAAATTAGAAAAGCCAGTGAGACTTAGTAAGGATTCAAAAACAGAAGTCGAAGATATGGAATTGGAACCAACAGAACCGACGGAATCCAGGAGTTGTGAGATGGAGATTAATTTACCCATGGACCATACTCAAAATCCCCTGTTGATCAATGAACGAATCAACAGAACAGAACAAAAAATTGAAGAAAAAACTAAAGATGTGAGTCAGAGTAATCCAATAATTGAGAAGGTCGATAAGAAATTAGAACAAAGAGCAGAAGAGAAATTAGTTGAACGAATGGATGTAGATTTAGCAGAGAGTGTTGATGAGAAGAATGAGGAGAATCAACCAGTCAGAAGGCGGAGATGTAGTGAGGGACCAACGTTAAGTCCAGTCGTCAATCAACGAGTAAGAAGAAAATCAAGTGACGACGCAGAATTTTCCAAAGTCACAAGTCCAAAAGTAGGTAATGCGAATCCCTTCAATGAAGTTGAATCTGAATTGGAGAAAATGTTTGCGGGAATTGTTGAGACGAGTGAGAAACAGGAACCGAAACTTGAGGACGAAGAGAAGTCGGATGATTTGCTAAAAACGGAAAATTCGGATAATATTGTGTCGACAAGTGACATGCAGAATACTAGTTTGGCTGATGTGTCGTCATCGGTGGAGACAAAGTCAACACCCACGAAGGCCAAGAGGCGTAGAGTTCGAGGAGGCAAGAGAAAAGCTGTCAAATCCGATAGTCAGGGTGGTGAGTCGAGAGACGGTAGGAGAGGCAAGGCGACGAAGGGGAATAAGAAACAAGACAGTTCCAAGAAGAATGTGAAAAAGACGACGAAAGTTGAAGGTTTGAGGGAAGTGACCTACGATTCTGGATCTAATGCGAGTTCAATTAGATCCCGTGGACCTGTTGTTCATGTCGAGGGACCTCGGGACAGTCCTTTAAGTATTCAAGTTGTTAACGTTCCTCGTGAAGAGGAGGAGGAGAAGAGTAAAGAGAAACGGAAAAATGTCGGAAATGGAAATGCAGGTCGAAGTAAGAGGCTCAGTCATCAAAATGATCTTGATTACCGGGGTACTTTTTATTCTTATAATTCTCCATTTTTTCCTTACTATACTCATTTTATTCTTTTTCTTTTAATTTTATTCCTTATTCTACTCAATTTATTCCTCATTCCTGGAAATCTGGAAATGTCTGGGAATTTTATAAACCTTGAAAAAACCTGGAAAAGTCAGTGAATTTTGGAAAAATTCAAATTTTGTGAAATCCTGGAAAATTGTTGTTTTCTAAAGTTATTGTGTTTATTCTTGAAATCTAAGTTCATTTAAATATTTCAAAATCCATTCAATTTTAAAAGAATTGCGTTTACAATTTTCATAAGTTGATGAACTTCAAAAGAATTTTGATTTAAAATTTTGTAAAATTTCAATTTTAAACCAATTTAATTAAAAATACAAAAAAAAACAAATGTTTAAACTAAAATTCTTCTAAAATTAGTTAAATCTTTTAAAATATATAATGATAATATCATTTTAATGATTGCAGAAATTAAATTATTTTTAAAAATATGTAGTAAAATTTTTCTCAAAAATTCAATTCTTTTCAAAAATTTTAATAAAATTCTTGGCAAACATTTAATTATTTTCATAAATGATAAAAATTTCACAGGAATTCAATTATTTACAAATTATTTTCATATATATTATTCAATTATTTTCATAAATAATAACATTTTCTACAGGGATTCAATTATTTTCTTAAATAATAAAGCTCAATGCTGAATTTCAATTATTTTTAATACAATTTTGATCAAATTTTTCGAAAAATGCAATTATTATTCTTGAAAGTTTTATTAAAATTTGTCAAGAGAATTTAACTATTTAAAAATTTGTTGATAAAATTCTTTAAGAAAATTCAATTTTCAAGTATTTTTCTACAATTTTTGAAAATAAACATTTGAAGAATTTTAATTGCAAATTTTGAAAATAATTGAATTATGAAAAGTTTTAATGGAAAATCTTTAAAGGTAAATTTAAAAATGCAAATTAATGAAAATTAGCTTCTAATTTTTTACAATTCAATATTTTCAGTATTTTTAAATACATATTTCCAAAAATTCAAAATACATACAAAAATAATAACATTTTAGTATTTTTTTAGCATTCTTGTCAAAATTTTAATTATCTTTATAAATAATAAAATTTTTCTCTGAAATTCAATTATTTTCAAAACTTTTAATAAAATTCTTGGCAGAATTCCAATTATTTTTAATATACAATTTTCATCAAATTTCTCGAAAAATGCAATTATTCTTGAAAATTTTATTAAAATTTGTCAAGAGAATTCAATTATTTAAAATTTTGTTAATAAAATTCTTTAGTTCAATTTTAAGAAACATTTAATTGTTTAATAAAATATTTATTTTTATAGTTAAATAATTGAATTCTCGTAGAATTTTCTAATAAATATTGATTTAAAAATGAATTTCAAATCAAAATCTTTGAAAATTTGAATTTTTCATACTTTAAATTAAGAATTCTATAGAATTAATTTTTCTCAATAAATTTAATGGAATTTTTTTTTATTGATATTTTCGAATAATTTTCGTTTTAAATATCTGGAAAAATTCCGTTTTTAATCTGGAAAAGTCAGGGAATTTGAAAATGAGCAAAACCGTTGCAACCCTGCGACTCATTCTAAAAATTTACAACCTTTACTAATTTCGTGATGTTTTAATTGCAGGGAAGGTTAACAAAGCCGGTCTTTTTAGTTCAACGTTATCCTCGAGATACGACGCACATACAACAGATTCAACATGGGTCTGTGTATTTTGCAAACAGGGTCCACATTCAGTTGTTCCTGGAGATCCTTCAAGGCCACACCCAAATCTAGCTGGTCCTCACATAGCACCTGGATCATATATTGTAAGTGAAAATTGTGTTCATTAAACAGAACTACCAGCTAACAAGCATTGATACACGTATTAATTTGAATATCGAAAATATTAATTGAATCTTCATGTTTTATTATAATATTTTTATAATTTGTTGAACTTCGAAAAGGTCTTAAATTTGAAAATCTTAATCTTTCGACTTTTCTTCCAAATATTGCAACAAAATATCATATTTTTTAGTTTAAATGTAACTCATTTCTTTCAAAAATTATGTTTGAATCATTTTTCTATTTAAATTTTCGAAATATACAATTAAAAAGATTTTGAATAATTGAAATTTTGTAAAATTTAATTCAAAATAATTAATATTTTTAAAGTTTATTGTTAGAATTTTTGAAAATCAACTTTTGAAGAATTTTAATTGCAAGTTTTCAAAATAATTGAATTACCTATAAAAAATTTTAATGAAAAATCTTGAAAACGTAAATTTAAAAAAGAAAATTAATGAAAATTAGCTTCTAATTTTTTTAAATTTAGTATTTTCAGTATTTTCAATTACATATTTCCGAAAATTCAAATAAATAAAAAAAAATAATAACATTTAAGAATTATTTTTAACATTTAATTATCTTCGAATAAATCATAGTCATATTTATAATTAAAATTCTTCAAAAATTTGATTATTTTTATTTTTTGAAAATATTATTATATTTCAATTGCCTCATAAACTATGAAATTGCCACGAATTCTAATACAAAACGTTCCAGTTTTTCTATTTCTGACAATAATTTATTTCACATAACTTCATTCATCAAGATCCATCATAAAATTATTACTTAGAAATTATTTATTGAATTTATAAAAGAATTTTAGTTAAAAACACTAAAAAAATTAAATTTTGGAGAAATTACAAATGATTGCAGAAATTCAATTATTTTCAAAAGTAATAAAATTCTTCGCTGAAATTCAATTATATTCAGAAATTGAAAAAAATCTCATCATAATTTCAATTATCTTCATAAATAATAAATATCTTCTTTGAAATTCAATTATTAATTTTCAAAAATTTTTCTGAATTCAAAGATTTCCAATATCTACTATTTTAATAAAATTATCTAAAAGAATTCAATTATTTAAAAGAAATTTAAATAAAATTCTACGTAAACAATTAATTATTTTCATGTAAATAATAAAAATTTCACACGAGTTCAATAATTTCCAATTTGTTTATAAATTTTTTCCCAAGAATTCAATTATTTTCATAAATAATAAAATTTTTTACAGGGATTCAAATTATTTTCTTAATTAATAAAACTCATCACAAAATTTCAATAATTTTTAATACAATTGAAATTGAATTTCTTAAAAAATGTATTTATTTTTAAAAATTCTATTGTAATTCGTCTATGAAGAATTCAATTATTTAAAAATTTGTTAATAAAATTCTTTGGGAGAATTCAATTTTAAGAAACATTCAATTATTTAAAAGAATATGTATTTTTGTATTTAAATAATTTAATTCTCGTAGAACTTTCTAATAAGAATTGATTTAAAATCAATTTCAGTTAAAATTTTAGATAATAATTGAATTTTGAAAAGGTTTCAAATTAAAATCTTTGAAAATTTGAATTTTTTATACTTTTAAATTAACAATTTTGAACAATTAATCTTTCTGAAAAAGTTTTATTGAATTTTTAAAAAAATTATTTGAAGTTTTTATTTTCTAACGTATATTTAATTGAAATATTTCTGAATAATCAAAATGTTTGGTAAAATTGAATTGTAAACAAATGGATTTGAAAATTCTCAAAGAACTTTTTCAAAAATTATTAAAAATAATTGATTTAAGGGCATTTGAACCATTATGACGTCACAATTTTAAAACTCATGCTTTGCACACATTGTGACGTCATAATGGTTCAAATGCCCTTAAAGAAGAATTTTAGTTAAAAATTCTAGAAAATAGTAATAATAGTAACAATATTTTTATATAAAATAATAATTTTATAACTGTGTTATTTTTAATAATTATTATAAAATCATATCTTCATGTTGTTGAATTTCAAAAAGCTTTGAGTTTGGATGTTCTGAAAAATCTTAATTCCTATGGAAAGATAATAATGATTAAATATTTATTAAAAAATGAAGTTATTGATGTTTTCGACGTCGGTGAAGTTCGCAACGTTTATGATCAACGATTGAAAAAAAATTATTTTCCTACGAAAAAGAATAAAATTTTTTGTTCATAAATATTTCTTTTGTAAATCATTATTCAAAAAACTAACCAAAATATTTTCTATACAAAAATTAATAAAAATTTGCTTAAAAAAATATTTTTCTTATGAAATCGTTGATTATAAACGTTGTGAACTTTACCAACGTTGTTTTCGAATAATTTTACAATTAAAGTAATTCGTAAATAAATGAAATAGATGTTCCTAAAGTTTCGAACGTTCAAACGAACGACGATATTTTTATTACTTCTTTCAATTTGAATTTTATTAAAAAAAACTATTATTTTTTATAATTAAAAAATTATTTTTAACAAAATAAAGCAATTGTTGTAATGCATAATTTATTTCAGGTTCCGGCTGGTGTTTTAAGCGATCTTTTCGGTCCGTATTTAATAGGCAAGGAACGTTTGGAGGACGGAATTGTATCAGCAGACGAGCAAGAAATCATGACTGAACAGAAGAAGGGTGGAAAAAATAAACGTAGTTTAAGGCACGCGGGACTGGCCGATCAGTTCACTGCTAAAATGAGTAAGAAAAAAAGGAACTCTGTAGAAACTAGTACTAATACTGTATTTACGGGCATGACATTAATTCCTGGCGAAGAACAACGTTGGGAAGTTTGGCTACATGAACAATGTGCAGTTTGGACAGCTGGTGTTTATTTAGCAGGTAATGTTGTTGCGATAAAAATTATTTGTTTCGATAGAAAATTACTTCTTTTTTCGACAAAAACTGTTTGTTATTTTTTATTTTTTCGTTTTACAATTTTTGCTAATTAATTTTTGTTTATTTAGGCGGAAGAGTGACAGGATTACAAGAAGCAGTTTGGGATGCTGCAAAGTCTGTTTGTGATGCTTGCGGTTTGACTGGAGCAAACATTGGTTGTGTGAAACGAGGCTGCAAGGCTGTTATACATTATCCTTGCGCCTTAACAAAAAGCTGGCTTCTCGACACTAGTGACTACATACCCAAATGTAATGTTCATCGAGTAACGTGAAATTTCGGTGAGTTTCTAATCAATTTCTAATCTGAGGGGAACGGTGAAAAATCATACTTGTTGCTGCACAAGGCTTCTAATGGATTTTGTTAATTCAAAATAACAGATTAAAAGAAAAACGTATAAATACGTTTTTGACTGAAAAATCGCCTTACAAAAAGAGTAGGGTTTAAACCAGCGACGAATCCATTTGCAAAAAATATTGTAATTCGTACTTCACCATTTTTTTTTTTTTAATGTACACATTGGAAAACATAGTTTTGTTTGTTTTTGTAATTATGCCACATGAAATTGTGTAAAATATTTCTCATTGATCGTGATCGCGTCGTGTAGAATTGTAGAATTGTCAAAAATTATGCAAACAATCGTGTTTGAATTTCCAAAATTGGCAGAGGCCTCATTGTAAGATAAAAAAGAGGGGGGGAAGAAAAATCTTCAATTTTTATATTGAAGAGAATTTGTATACACTTTTGAGAATGGTTTCTGAGATCTGTTTTTGTTTAATCAACAAATGTTACAAATACACTAGTTTTGTCTTTATTAGACATTATAAAAGGCCAAAAGTTTATAACAGTTTTTTAGTCTTGAGTGAGATTGAATTTTTTAAAATGTTTTACATGACAATTTAAATATTGAGACAAGACTTTCTTATCTGCTTGCTTTGAAAGGATTAATTTTTGTCACTTTGTGGCCTTGAGAAGTGGCCTTTCGAGAAATTGATACTTGATTGAAAATATAAACCAATTTGGAATTCTAAAAATTCTGTTTAATTCGTTAATTTTTAAATTTAGAAATAAACTAAATTCCAAAGGAACAGTGTATGGAATATAAAACGATCTCAGAAATTTTAATACAAAATTTTCGAGCATGTAATATTTATTTTGTAAATACGATCAGTTATTGGAAACAAAATATACTCAAGTTAGCTTGAGATACTTTATAGATTTTTTTTTTTTAAATTATGTCTAGAAACAAATTTTTTAGATTACAAGTGAAAGGAAAATTTACATTTCACTAGATTTGCGATTTTTTTTTGTGTACCTTAAATAAGGTAATGATTTTTTATATACATTTTAAAAGTGTTTTGTCTAAAAATGAATTTTTGTCCAAAAGAAAAATACAGATTTTTTTTTGAAATGATTAATTTTTTCAGAATATACAATTGATTCTTCAAGTAGTTTACCAATTCTTTTTTTTATTTTATAGCCTTTTAAAGACCAGTGAATCACATAAATAGATTAGTTTATTGTTGGTTTAATCATTCATATCATTATTGGTAGATTTTGTGAGTGTGTAAAAGATGATTTTTTTTGTTGCAAACGAAATTGTATGCAATTGCCTAGGACATAGCTAAGAATGGAAAAATTGTAAAAAACAAACATAAAATCATAATGTACATATTGAGTAGACAGAAAAATATATATAAATATATAAGTATATATGGAAGGTATATGTTACAGTTTTTTCCAAGAGCACAGAGTAAGATGATTTCTGTTTTTTTTTTTTTTTTTTTTTTTTGAACTTTTGAAGTGAAACGCTATCACCTTTGATTTCTTCTTATTATATAACTTATTCTTTTATTTCTATTTAAAACAAACAAACAAACACTTATACGTAGAAATCGAGGTAGTGCTTTTGGGAAATATTCTTCTTCAGAAATAAAGGCGTCCGAAAATTACGCTTGAGGGGTTAAATTTTAGATTTTAAGAATCGCGAGTATGGAATATTAAAGTATGATGAACTTTTTTGTACATATGATACGTACATAGTAACAAATTTATGTATAAAAGATAACGAGGAAGCGTAAATTTAGATGCATAATATCAGTTTTAATTGTAGAGAAGAGAAAACAAAAGGTGGATTAAAAAGATTTTCTATTTGCGAAATATGATTATAAATCATGAATTCTTATTTAATTTTCCTAATTAACAGAACAAACAGCAGCCAAAAAAAAAAAATTACTGTCTACGGTCATGTGTGAAAGGGAATAAAATTCTATTTTAAAAAAACAACTCTAATGTTAATAATTGTGATAAAAAAAAGGAAAATAAAAATTATCTGTTCAAAAAGTGGCATGTCTGTAAAATTCCTCGTTCTGTTAACTCTGCATTCGAAAAACATATTTATTCTATCAAATTTTTAGAAAAATTGACATTTCCTTCTTCTGAAATGAACTTTCAAATACCTAAGGTTGTTTTTCGAATGCATTGTAAAAAAAATATTTGAAATGTGTCTTTCCGAAAATCGAAATACTTAAATATTTGGCTTATAAATTGTGCTGTAATACCCGAAAATAGGTATAATAAATAATAAAGCCTATAAGTTTTCATTTGTAAAAACAAAAATGTCATGGAAATTTTTTTCTTGTAAAATAAGCATCGAAGTGATGAAATTGAAATGATTATCTAGCGACGCTGACCAAGACGATAGATGAGACGTGAAATAAAAGAAAAAAAAATTAATCCTATTGTGAATAAAATAGTAGACAATTTTATTTCCATTAGTCACACTTGACTTTAGGAAAGGTTTTCTTCTGTCCTTTACACTCTGCAGATTTATCGAGTTCTAAGCATCATACGCATTTTCGTGACCTGGTTTAAATATTAATGATCAGTAAAGATGTTGCAAGATGTTGCTTTCTCTCTATCTGTTTAATTACATATGTGGAATGATAGGTCCCTGTGGATCATATCGAGATTTATACAAAAAAAACGATACCATTACGTATACATCTTTGTGTAAAATAAACATAAAAAGTAATAAAACGATATAAATCGAAATTTAACCGAGTATTCACTTTTCCATATTTTATACCTAATAATTATTTATTGTTATATTCATGTCTCGGATCGACTTTCAGGTGCAAAAAAAAGTCGATTTAAAATACAAAAAAAGTCGAAAAACTCGTTTATTTAATACTGTGTCGTGACAAAAATTTTATTTTGTATTTTTCTAATCTTTCACTGATTTCTAAATTTAATTATTCAAAACTTGAATAATTTCGTTAAATAAATATTTAAATACTTCTTACTTGTTTTTATACGGGAATAAAATTTTTGAAATTTTCTATTTAAAACCTTCTGAAATTTAATTATTTCTAAAAATTCCAACTGTAATTCTCTTAAAATTCAATTATTTTCAACAATTTTTAATCAAACTTCTTCTCAAAATCAATTATTTTTAATAATTTTTCGAAAGTTCTTAAAAAATTCAATTATTTAATTACAAAAATTCAATTTTTTATCATGATTGTAACTGTCCATGTTTTTTAAGTTATCCTAATTTTCAAAAAATTATAATAAAGAAATTTTTAAAATTAATTTTTCAAAAATATTTTAAAAATAATTTATGAAAGACAATAGTTTTTCAATTACATAAAGTTGAAAAATTTTCAAACAATTGAAATTTGGTAAATTCTATTAAAAAAAATAATTGAATTTTTAAAGAATTTTAATTATTAATATAAACGTGATTCCTCCAAAATTTTAATAAATCTGAAACAGTAAACTTTTACAAATTTTAATTTAAATATTGTAATGTAATTTTTCGAAAAAAATTGAATTTCTCAAAAGAATTTTTGTATAATTAAAAAAAAAATAATTTTTTGATGAATTTTGAATAAAAATTTTAAACATGATTGTTATGATGTTAAAATGTTAAAAATCATTTCAAAACAATCTTAATATTATTTTTTGTATATATTTAAATTTTCAGAAATATGTAATTAAAAATAATTAAATTTTGAAAAATTAGAATGAAAAAAATTCTAAAAATATAATTTTTCGAAGCTAATTTTCATTAATTACCATTTTTAAATTTACACTTGAAGATTTTTTATTAAAATTTTTGAGAAATCAATTATTTTCAAAATTTGCAATTAAAATTCTTTAAAAGTTGATTTTTTATTGTAAATTTTGAAAATTTATTTAGTATTTGTAAAATTCATTTTGAAATAAATTTTCATTACAAAATTCTACGAGAATTCAATTATTTATACAAAAATAAATAATTTATTGAATAATTGAATGTTTCTTAAGATTAAATTTTTATGAAGAATATTATTTACCTACAACTTTTGAAAATAATTAATTTCTTTTAAGCAATTTTGTTAAAATTTTATAGAAATTTATTGAAGTAAAGAATTTTATCACAATTTTTTGGAAATAATTCAAAACTTTTGAAGAATTTTATTAAAATTAAAAAAAATAATTGAATTTATGAGAAGAATTTAAATAATAATAATTTATTAAAATAATTGCATTCATAGGAAGAATTTTATTAAATTTTATTTAAATAATTGAAATTTTGACAAGAATTTTAGTGAATTTTTTGAAAATAATTGAATTCCTGCAAAAAATGTTACTATTTATAAAAATAATTGAATTATTTCGAAGGATTTATTGAAATTTTTGAAAATAATTGAATTTATTCGAAATATATTAAACATTTTTTTAAAAATTTAATTCTTTCGAGGAATTTAATTAAAATTGAATTAAATTTCAATTATTTTCAAAATTTTCAATTAAAATTCTTCAAAAGTTGATTTTCAAACATTTTTTATAAAACACTTTGGAAAAAATTAATTATTTTCAATTAAATTTTACAAAATTTCAATTATTGAAACTCTTTTTAAATATAAATTTCAAAAATTTAATTAGAAAAATTATTCAAAAATAATTTTTGAAGATTTTTCTATAGTTATTTTTTACACTATTTATATAAAAATCCAAATATCTATTATACTCATTATTATAAATATTATTAATAGTCTGCTAATAACAGTATAATTATTAATAGTCTGTTAATAAATTCAGTTTAGTATTAATTTTTCAAGAGAGGAAAAATTGATTTAAATCAATTAACTTTTTAAGAAAATTCAAATTGCGCGCCAAAAGGAAAATTGAAACTTTCGCCCGACAGCAGCGCCGCCAAGCGGTGAAAACTGCCATCGAGTTCCCCACCTACACAAATGAATTTATTTTCAGTGTGTCACCGATCGTCGTGAAGTTCGGTTATGTTTCTATTGCGAGTTATATGTTTGTTGTGAAAAAAATGAGGGGTGAAAAATTGCCACGTTAGAACAATGTGGACCATGAAATAATGGGTAATTTAGCAACAGTGGGTGTTGTTCTTATTCCCTGCATAGTGGATTACGTTTGGGGCAAGGAGGCAATACGAGGTTATTATCAATTTTTTATTATATTAATAATCATTTTCTTTCTAAAAAGCACGTGTCATATCAAATAATGATATAATTTTTACGTTTATTACATTATTTCCCTTTGTAGTTGCATGTTGTTTATTTTTACCTTGTATAGGTAAAGGTCAGGGTAACTGTTGTTGTTTTTTTTACATGGAAAGCAACTTCAAACTTTTTGAGCGTCCTTTCTATTCTTGCTTGTTACTTTAAACGACATGTTTATTATTTGAATACGTTTTATATTTGATTTTTTTGTGTATTTAATTTACTTTAATTTAATTTCTTTGTGTTTCTTTGTATTTCTTTATGTCTTTCAATTCGTTGATGGAAATTTTGCTGGCAAGTGTGGCAAGTGTTTATAACTGACAAGAAAGTCTCTTAGTTCCTATTTTTAACGGGTAAAATTTAAATTGTAACGAGATTTTAACGTATTTTTTTCATTTTAAGGTTATTGCGTTCATTATTTTTAAGAAATGGAAACATTTCTTGTTGACAGTTTAATTAAAATATAACTGCGATATATACGTCCGGTTGTAGTTTTATTATGGATTAATCTTATTTCTTAATTATGTTTCTTCAACAGTGAAAGTTTAAGTTTGATTTTATAAGGTGTGTCATGAATAAAGTATTGACTATTTTCCTCATATAGTGAATGTTGAATTTAACATATAATTCTCCGGGTGAAAAAGTTGTAAAAGAGATTAAGTTCAATAATTAAGTAAAAGAATATGAAAGGACGTTGAAAATTAAACGTAATTTTTATTGATATTTTTCACTGATCATTTAATAGCAAGTGTTTGTTATAGTCTTAATGAATAGCGAATTGTAAAAATATGATTTGACTTCCTCTTGGGAAACTGAATATCGCGAAAACAATGCATGAGAAAAAGAAACATTAAAAGAAATAAAGCGTTTGCTCAACTTTGGGGGAAAGTGAATAGAGTTCAGTACAAAAGGCTCCAAAGTTTGGTATAATGCAGTCGAGTTTACAGGTGTTAAAGCATCCGCTAAAGCAAGGTACCACCAGGGAGTCTTATTCTATGACGCTATTCAAAGCAAATATGCATTTAGTTTACCAACTTTGTAAATTTAATCAAGCCTTTATAGAACAAAATGGAATATATTTTAGTATTTCTTAATTATTTTATATAGCTATACCCCCCATTTATTTATTAATTTGATCATCATTCCGGTGTTTTTATTAGAATAAATTGCTTACTTCGAACAAGCAACAAGGTGTTAATTAAAATCAATTAATATATCCATCGCTTGAAAACATTTATTCAGAAGTCAATTATCATTAAAAGCACAAACGATGAATGCTCTCGGGACATGTTGAATGATCACGTATATGGGACATTAATGTGTACTTTGATAAGCGTCAGCATCCTGCGCTTCTACAATAAAATATTGTCTTTTGTCGAAGAAATATTTTTCTCATTCATTCAGAAATTTAACAATAAATATGTTTACATGTTTTAACATTAGAAAAATTTAACTTTTTTTTGGCGTATTAACTAATTAAATAGAATTTTTTTTCTTTTCATCAATTTTCATTGTTTTGAATTTTTGTTTATTTGACTTTAAAAATTCACCAGATTTTTTACTTAACAAAATTCTTACATCTAATTGAATTTTTAATTTAGAAAATTGAAATAAAAATTCTTTCTAATGCTTTAGGGCCTATTTTATTCCCTTAGAAGAGTGAATTTTTATTCACAATGAAAATAATGATAATGATAATAATCAGAATTACTTTAGTGATAATTTAAAGTCCGGAATAATTTTACAATGATCAAAATTATTATTATAGGTGTATTTAATATCAGATATAAAAGATAAAAAGTGGGGAAAAGAAAAAGTGCGTGTAAACTGAAAAATTCATGAGATGACTAAAGTTTAAATCAAGGGATTCGTTTTATAAAAGGTGATTTCTATTCCTTTCGAAGGACGACAAAACAACTTACAAAAGGAAAATAAACCATAAATCCGTAGATAAAATAAAATTCCCTCGATGCGTTGGAAATCGAGAGGAAAGGTCTTTTCCTTTTTGTGTTGAGAAACGAATAACGCATGGTGTATATATGGTCTTTAAGCGGAACTCATATTTTTCTGTCCTGTTGGTCGAGAAAAGCGCGTCGAGAAATGTTAGACTCTTTATTTAATTTTCTGCGCACAGTACCGTTGTCCATTTATCTTTCTTTTTATAAATTCATACCGTTCTTATCTGAAATTATTACATATATTTATGAAATATTTAAATTCCATGTTGGCATCTTTTATTTGCCTTAAAAGTGTTTTAGAATTGCAGAAATAAAATTATATTTTCATTTTCAAAATTCCTGCTTTTTAAATGCTCTGAAAAAATGCAGGCGTGACTTTTTCGACTTATTTTAAAAAAAAATTGAGACTCTTTGTTCTTTCTTCTACCCTATATAGGTCAAAACGTATTTTTCCACTTTATTTATTAGAATAAATTTTCTAATTATAATTTTATCCTCTCCTATCAAAGTCGTATATTTCCTATATAATATTGAAATCAAGCAAACACAAAATCGATAATAAAACTGTTATAAAAGA